GCCCCCCCCACGAAGCAGACGCCGCCGGCCTTCCCCCCTGGTGCACCAGCATTACACCCTCCAGCGGCCTGGGCACCAGAGGCGGCTGCACCAGCTGCCCCCCTCCGCCGCCCCCCAAACCCACCCCCCTTCCCCTCCACGGACGCCAGCCCACCTCGCCCCTCCCCCTCTACAGCCCAGCCCCCCAGCCCTCCCACACCTACCCCCAGCACCTGCCCCAGGGGGGTGGGGGGCAGCACACCCTCCACCGCCAGCCCCCCAAGCACTTTGTCTTCAGCCACCACCCCCAGCTGGCGCAGCGCGTCGGGGGCGCCCCCCCGCCAGCCACCCACCACGGCCCCGCCCACCACCACCACGGCCCCGCCCCCCACTCGCCCATCCCCCCCCACCCCTCCTACCCGCCCCTGCCCCCGCCGTCGCCCCACACCCCGCTCAGCCCGCACTCCCCCGGAGCCCCCACCTCCCCGCTCCCCCAGCATGCCCCCCTGCACCCGGGAGGGCCCCAGGTTCTGCCGGGACAGGGCAACCCCAACCCAAAATCCAAGCCGGTCAATAGAATTAGCACCGTGGTCTGAGCCGTGCCGGGGGAGTGGGGAGCAAAGGGTCACTACAGATACGGAAATCCAGACCGAGGGGAGCCCGGATCCCTGCCAGTCACTCCCCCCAACTTCCGAGGCCCGGCGAGGGAGGAGAGAACAAATCACGGCAGAGAACGGCCCCAGCTCGTGACAGCGATGGACGGAAGAATCCCGGAAGATTGGGGGGGGGCGGGGACTGTGTCTGGAGGGGCCCGGCCTTTTAACCAGGGGGGGAAGGCCGGGGCAGCGGACGCCCTATCCCTGCCCTGTTCCCCCTCCCCACCGGGCTGCCGCCCCCCCCTCCTTGGACCGCCTCAGGCTCCCGCTGCGGGGGGTGGGGGGGATCCCCTTTTCATTTGCACATGGCTTGTGAGTTGCTGCTGCTTGGCCTGTTATTTTTGGGGGGGGGAATCCCTGGGATATTGGGGGGCCAGATCTGGGGGGGCATCCCCCCCATTCTCACCCGTGTCTGTAATAAGGGCTACTCCCGGCGGGAGCTGTTTTCCCTCCCCCAAACTCCTGCGATTTGCACTGACAGAGAACCCCTCCCTCCCTCCCCCACTAGGCCTCCCCAAAGCCGCCCCACTCCCTGGTGCCGAAAGGGAAACCCCGTGAAACTCCAATAGCCCCCCGCTTCTCTGGGAATAACTCACGGGCCCCAGGGCTGTTTGTTTTGGGGGGGAGCCCTGTATGGAAACAGTCCCTGCGCGGCGTTATGTGCGGCTGTTCCCCAGCTGCCCCGCCCCAGAGGTGGCTGCATCTCTGCCCCAAGTGAATCTTGTGCACTTTATTCCCCCCTCTTGCAAATACAATCTGTCCCTCCCCCCACTTGAATATCACTCTGTCCCCCTGTTTCTGATCAGCGTCCCCCCCGCACAGCTCGGGGAGGGGAGGGGCGGGGGGCTGGGAGCCAGGACTCCTGGGTTCTCTCCCCGGCTCAGGGAGGGGAGGGTCTGGGGGGGGTAGAGCAGAGAGAAATTGAGGCAGAACTCCAGAGTCCTCACTCCCACGCCCCCCCCCCCGCTCTAATCACCAGACACCCCGTCCCCGGCTTCCCAGATCTGGGGCGGGAACCCAGGAGTCCTGAACTAAAGGATTTCCGAAGCCCCGCCGCCAACGCTGTCCCCTTTGCCCCTCCACCTCAGGGCTGTGCTCCCCAGTTTCTCTTGGGGTCCCCCCAACGTCTGGTCGCCCCCCAGCATGCACCTCCCCCGCCCCGGTACCCGCGTCGCCTTGGTTTGCTGTACAGACCCCACTGTATATAGTATACATTATAAATAGTGGGCCAGGGAGCGGGGCCCCCCCCGAGCGCCCCCCGGCCGGGCCCCCCCCGGCGGTCCTGGCTCGACGCTGACAAGATGACTGTATTTTTGTTCCCCCCCCCCGGTCCCCCTCCTTGTATATAAGAAACTGTATATTTGATGCTTCATAAATGACCTACTGTCCTTTCCGTGTTCATCCTCTGGTGTGTGTCTGTTCTTTACCCCGCCTCTTGGGGGCACCGTGGGGCTGGGCAGGGGGCGCTCTCCCTGGCAGGCAGGGCCGGGCGCTGGGGGGTTGCCGTGGGGCAGGGGGCGCTCTCCCCTGGCAGGCAGGGCCGGGCGCTGGGGGGGTGCCGTGGGGCAGGGGGCTGGGCAGGGGGCGCTCTCCCCTGGCAGGCAGGGCCGGGTGCTGGTGGGTGCCGTGGGGCAGGGAGGAGGGGTGTCGGGGCGCCGTGCGGCGGTGAAGATTGTACTACAGAAGCCCTGTGGGCGTCGGGGCTCTGGGCCGTTGCTCCAATCCCCTTGGAGTCGGGGCGTGAACCCCGGTGTCCGGGCCCAAACCCATGTCTGGTGAGGAGCTTATATGGTCCCCTACCGTGTCCACGGGACATGAGCGTCTCAGAGGTGTTGTATCTCAGCACCAGGTGAGCCACCCCCATGTGGCGTTATGTGCGGCTGTTCCCCACCGCCCTGCCCCAGAGGTGGCTGCATCTCCGCGCTGGGACAAGGACGCGGGGAACAGGGGCTTGTGACACCAGCTGGGCTGAGACCCCAACATGCCTCGTGCCCCCATCTGGCAGGGGAGGGGTCAGGGTAGGACTGAGCTGCTGAGGGGTGGGGAGGGGCTAGGGGCCTGGGGAGTGGGTGGGGTCTGGGTGTGGGGGCTGGGGAAGGGATGGGGTCTGGGGAAGGGGCGGGGTTTGGGAGGAGGAGGGGTTAGGGGGTTGGGGAAGGGGTGGGGTCTGGGTGTGGGAGGGGTTAGGGGTGGCAATGGAAGGAGGGGTAAGGGAGGGAGGGAGGAGGAGGGGTTAGGGGCCTGGAGAAGGGGGAGGGGTGGGGTGTGGGAGGAGGAG